ATATTTTTTTAGTATTTTTCCTATTTTATTTGATATATATTCTAATGTATTTTTGACTTTTCTCCAATAATAAATAAGCATGATGTCACAATACAACCATAATCTGTTTCGGTTTAATGTAAATTCGACGAATTCTTGATAAGCCGCTTTAATTTCTGTAAAGATGGATCGGTTAATCCTCGGATTATGGTAACCTGGCGATTTTTTGGTGAAAATTTGGCGACCAACCCTGCTACAGCAACCTGCTAGTTTTGTTTTGGACGCCATTTTGTTTTCACGAAGTAAAGGCTTTCTTTTTTTTTTTTTTTTTACTCAAAATTTTTTCCAACAATCTGCTAGCCGAATTATGCTTATACTAGAACTTTTATGGAACAAAAGTGTTTAATCATGATGAAGATTAGGTGGGAAATTGAGAGAAAGTGCAGAATCGCCCACTGCTTGCCGTGTTTTAAGAACTGCACATATACGGTATCGTCCATGTACACGTCGACATATTTTCACTTAAAAAAACATCCCAGAATTGCACAAAAATGACATTGCGCACACTCTTGACTTTATCCATGTACACTGCTAAAGTGCTAGCTAGTAACCTTTATCGCCTTATCAAAATGTCGCCAAACTACCTGTTACCATATTCCAAAAATTAGCCGATGGATCAAGTTCTATTTTTTTTTTTTTTTTTTCACATTTTGAAAAAATTGTTAACATTTGAGATTGAATATAAAGTGGAATATTTTCAGAGATATAAAATTTGTTTTTTAACAAAAGGCATAATATGAGACTTTAAAAATGATAAAGAACGGCGCTGTAATGTGAACAATTCTAAACGAGTTTAGTTTTATACACATAAAATCCATTATTCTACTGATTTTATTATCTAACGCATTAAATAACTATCTGCTTCTGCTGGAATAATTGGCCCACCAACTTTCACGTTCGGTGGAATTTTATAATCAGATCAAATATTTTACTTTCATACTGAAGACCAACAAAATCTACGAACTTATATGTCTGAAAAGGGTTTTTTTTTTTTTAATTTGATATTGTTACATGTGTACAGGTTTGTAATGGATTAAATGCACTCATCCATTGATAGCTTCATGAAATTTACTTTCCCAAAAGAAGAGTCAAAGTTTTTACAAAAGTACTTGCACAACTCTTCTCAGTATAGTAGTTACCATTTCAAGCTTTCAAGATCATTAAACATTAGATAATATACAAAGGCTCAAATCCATAAGGTTGCTCAATACTCTAAGGTAACCTCTGAACTAAACTCAACTGATCCAGTCTTATATAGTTTTTCCCTGTTAACTGAGAAATTTGGTTGATCTTTACATTATGGTAACTTGGCGTTTTTTTGGCGACCAACTCTCCTACAGCAACCCTCTATTTTTTTTTCCCCGCCGCCATTTTGTCTTCACGAAGTAAAGACATGTTTCTTTTCTTTTTATCTACTGAACACTTCTTCCAACAATCTACTAGCCGAATTACACTTATGCTAGAAATTTTATCTAACAAAACTGCTTAATCATGACAAATATTCACTGCAAAATTGGGAAAAAGTGCACAATACCATACTCCTTACGCGTTTTTCAAAATAACACATACACATAAACCATGTACACGCCATCTTATTTTTACTTAAAAAAACATCCCAGAATTGCACAAAAATGGCATTGCGCACACTCTTTACTATATCCATGTACACAGCTTTTTTCTCATAAATTAGAAAAATTTCACGAATACATGACAATTTTCTCAATCTCTAAACCCGGTAAAAAGAACATATATGAAATTACCAGATCGCGAAAAAGTATTTACCTTTCCAAATATGAACATTTCCACATATAAAATAAATAAAATATCCAAAAACTTTTACCTCTAAATCATCTATTACATTATACACGTCACCAACGAATTCATACCGCAAGCATTACAAATACTTAGTATCAAATATTTAAATTATTTCCATGCACGTTTACTTCAACTTAAACGTATACCAAATTCCTACAAACATAAAATTCACAAAATAACTATCATTTAATTAAAATATCACTAAACCATGTACAAGCCGACTTATTTTTACTTAAAAAACATCCCAGAATTGCACAAAAATGGCATTGCGCACACTCTTCACTATATCCATGTACACTGCTTTTTTCTCATAAATTAGAAAAATTTCACGAAAATACATGACAATTTTCTCAATCTTTAAACCCGGTAAAAGAACATATATGAAATTACCTGATCGCGAAAAAGTAATGAACATTTCCACATATAAAATAAATAAAATATCCAAAAACTTTTACCTCTAAATCATCTATATTATACAAAAACGTCACCAACGAATTCATACCGCAACAATGGTACAAATACTTAGTGTCAGATATTTAAATTATTTCCATGCACGTTTACTTCAACTGAAAACGTATACCAAATTCCTACAAACATAAAATTCACAAAATAACTATCTTTTAATTAAAATATAATTAAATTCAAAAACACTACTTAAAATATAAATGAGCACATACATTAAATTAATACATACATAAATACCCATTTCGAATTCACTTTAGTTACGGCCATGGGATCCAAAAATTCACGAACACTGTTTCACACAACACAGAATAAAGCCAAATACAAAATTTCCAGATTTTTTCCCGATTTCCCCCCCTTTTCCGATTAAAGAACCGTAATTCGTCCATTAATATCACATGACATATCCCATGATCTCTCATTTCCCTCACACAAAATAATGCGTAATCGGAACTGAGTACTGCTCACATTATTACCAAAGTGCCAGGTAGTAACCTTTATCGCCTCCAAAATGTCGCCAAACTACCAGTTACCATATTGTAAAGATCAACCAGAAATTTTTAACACCTTTGCTTTCTTGGAATTGCCGGATAGCACACAGTTATATACAGGTTGGACAGTTACGTAAGTATAGGACTTAGTTATATCAGAATAGGACTACAGTTACATAAGTATAGACTCCAAATTTGCTGACGTTTGGGGATTTGTCACCAAACTTAGAGACAAACATTAGTTACCAAGAGCACTGCCAATTTGGCGCCATGTCACTAATTTGGCAAGACACCCATTATTCTAAGTCAATGTTAAATATACTTATCACTATAAACTTGTTCAGCAATGCTTCATAGTGGGGAAGACTTTCGTGTTATTAAATATCTATTAAAATATCTATGCTTGATGTGCTAGATATTTAAAGAAAGAACTGAAGAATTTATTTATCAAAGCATTTGCAAAATTCCTTCTATACTTCCATTAAACACACACATTAATTAACATTAAGGGTAGAAAGCATTTAACATATAAAATTTCAAATATTTATATTGAAAAAAATTTTAACTTAATATTATCATAATGTCAATATTTTTTACACATTTCACGCTCAAGACTGTAAATTAATAATAAAAAAGCATTTATGATTATAATTTTTTTTTAAATAAGGTTTATTAAATAAAATAAGCAGTTTGAAGTACAGCAATATTACTTCAATAAATTACATGAAATAAAATTTTTAAGTAATCTAGCAAATTTCTGTGACAGTCCTGCTCTACAGAAACCTGTTATAGATTCCAGAAAAAGGTTTTCCTTGAATTGAAACCATAAAAATTGTGCCAAAGTGTCAAATATTGCTAGTTTCTAATCAGTTTCATTATTATGGAAACCATATGACACAATTATTATTATTACTTTTTTTTTTTGAATGCTTGAGATGCTTATAATGATAATTCTTGCCAAGAATAATGACAAAGTTACATGTAAAAGAGCTCTTTTTGTTTTTTTTTTTTCCTACAGAGATGTTCATGCTTATAAAGTGTGCATACTCCAAAATTAAATATTAAGTTTCTTTCCACACTGGATAAAGAACATAAAACAGACTTTTTGGCTCTAGTGTAGAATTGTGTGCTTCTTTAATTAGCGACAAATTTTGTTAAATTTTGGCGATCAACCCCATTTCTGGTTACCATGATAGTTTTAACTTTCTTTAGCTTCCTGAATTTTCGTAAGTGAAAATAGATGTGCACATGGACAAAGTTAAGACACTATGCAATTCTCCGATATTCTTTCAAGTGAAAATAGATTGATGCGTACATTGTCTCCAAGTTTGTGCAATTCTTTGACTTCTCATTTTGGTTTTGTGTAGCAGCCATGTAGAAACTGTGCCTTAGCGACACCAATCTTGGTATACAAAAAGAATCGCAAAAAAAAAAAAAAAAAAAAAAAAACAAGGGGCACCCAATTGTACACTTCTACCCAGATTTTGAATAAATATATACTATATTTGAGTTCCTTACCTGAATAGAAATAACATTGCCATACTGATTCATTTTTCAAATATCTTCTTAGGTACTTTACACACACAGGACTGCTCTACTTGATATATCCAAGACTTGAAAGAATATATCATGGAAGACCTCAATTTCCTTTATCAGTATAATATGTGATACCCGTATACTGGTTTTATGGATGCCTATACACTTGAGACATTTCACATTGCAGCTGGATAGTCATACTGAGAATATTTGCTGATAATAGATTTAATTAGATCAAAAGTATGTAAGAAAAATGTAACTATGTAATTTGCCTGCAGGCCAGTATTTCATCACAATAAAGAAATCACCTATTACATTATTTCATTACAGGTACAAGAAAGGCATCTCAATCATTAATTCAATAGCTTTGACTGTTAAACTCAGAAACATTTTTAACACAAAGAACATACAACATACAGTACCTATATGGAATGAAACATTTAGCCCTGCCCCAGAATTGCATCTCAGAAGTATGTCAAAGTGGTAACAAGCATAGATCACCACAGTGCATTTTGGTAGGTAACAGATGTAACACTAAATATGAGTGATACAAAAGTCTGTGAAAAGTGATATCCAGGGTCAAAAATTCGAAATTTTGGAAAAGGCAGAAGAAACACAAAACACATCATGGCAGACTCTGAATAAAAGCAACAACCTTTTCATTAAAGGTCACTATAAGCAGCTTTAGATGTTTTAGGGCAGGATTGATAATCAAATGCAGGCTTCAAGTCAGCATTAATTAAAAATGCATTTGAGATATAATTTGCATGAATGTATTGTTCTTGCTTTTTAGAAATAAAAAATAAGATTATGATTTATTTTTATCAAATCACAATTCAAAAACCTCACCACAGTGTCAGCAGTACGTTTTATAGCACACAGTATAATACCATTAAATCTAAAATTCTGCCACTGACTGCCTCTCTTATTACCAAGAATTTCCCCACCACTTAATACTGACAAGTGTTGTGATTCAAACTGACTTGACTGCAAAAAATTTGGTTTCTTTGCCGAATACACAAATTTTTACTACACTAATAAATAAATGTTGATACTATTATAATACCTCCTCAAAAGACAGAAAGCTTCCCTTCTGCTTAGATCAACACATATTTTTTCAAATTATTCTATTGTCCAAACGAATTCTTACATATATGACAGATTTCTCTCTTCTGTCGATATGCACATTTTAATAATCCTTTATTAAAAATTAACTTTTCCATACTTTACACACAAGTCTTCCTTCCTGTGTGAATAACCATATGAGCTTTTAAATGACTCTTCACACCAAATTACTTTTACATACTTCATACCCATGAGGTTTCTTTCCTATGTGACTAAGAATATGCTTGTTTAAATGATCTTTCCATTTAAATGACCTCTCACATACTTCACACACATGAGGTTTCTCTCCTGTGTGAATAAGCATTCCAGTGTCTAAATTACCCTTCTGACTAAATGACTTTTTACATACTTTACACACATGAGGTTTTACTCCTGCATGAATAAGCATATGAATGTTTAAAGCATGCTTCATAGTAAAGCACTTCAGACATACTTCACACACACGAGGTTTCTCTCCTGTGTGAATATGCATATGGCTATTTAAAGTACACTTTTGACTAAATGACTTCTTACATACTTCACACACATGAGGTTTCTCTCCCGTGTGACTAAGCATATGGTACTTTAAATCACGCTTGTGTTGAAATGACATCTCGCATATTTCACACACATGAGGTTTCTCTCCTGTGTGAATAAGCATATGTCTGTTTAACGTACACTTATGACTAAGGATATCTTGCATACTTCACACATACAAGGTTTCTCTCTTGTGTGAATAAGCATATGGCACTTTAAAGTTGACTTCATAGTAAATGACTCCTTACATACTTCACACACGAGTCTTCTCTCCCGCATGAATAAGTATATGCTCTTTTAAATAATCCTTCCGTTTAAATGACTTTTTGCATACTTCACACATATATGGTTTTTCTGCAGCATGAACATGCATATGGATGTTTAAACCACTTTTCTGGCAAAATGTCTTCTTACATACTTCACATACGTGAGGCTTCTCTCCTGTGTGAATTAGCATATGGCTGTTTAAAGCACTTTTCCAACTAAATGACTTCTTACATACTTCGCACACATAAGGCTTCTCTCCTGTGTGGATTTGCATATGGCGGTTTAAAGCAGACTTGTGTTTAAATGCCTTCTTACATACTTTACACAAATGAGGTTTCTGTACTGTGTGAATAAGCATATGGCTGTTTAAAGCACTTTTATTACTAAATGACTTCTTACATACTTCACACACATAAGGTTTCTCACCTGTGTGAATAAGCAAATGTTTGTTTAAATTACCCTTCTGTGTAAATGAAATCTTACATACTTCACATATATGAGGTTTCTCTCCTGTGTGAATAAGCATATGGCTGTTTAAAACACTTTTCTGACTAAATGACTTCTTACATACTTCACACATATAAGGTTTCTCACCTGTGTGAATAAGCAAATGTTGGTTTAAATTACCCTTCTGCGTAAATGAAATCTTACATACTTCACATATATGAGGTTTCTCTCCTGTGTGAATAAGCATATGGCCGTTTAAAGCACTTTTCTGACTAAATGACTTTTTACATACTTCACACACATAAGGTTTCTCACCTGTGTGAATAAGCAAATGATTGTTTAAACTACCCTTCTGTGTAAATGAAATCTTACACACTTCACATATATGAGGTTTCTCTCCTGTGTGAATAAGCATATGGCTGTTTAAAGCACTTTTCTGACTAAATGACTTCTTACATACTTCACACATATAAGGTTTCTCTCCTGTGTGAATAAGCAAATGGCCGTTTAAAGCACTCTTGTGCTTAAATGACTTCTTACATACTTCACACACATGAGTTTTCTGAACTGTGTGAATAAGCATATGGCTGTTTAAAGCACTTTTCTGACTAAATGACTTTTTACATACTTCACACACATGAGGCTTCTGTCCTATGTGAAAAAGCATATGGCCGTTTAAAGTACACTTATGACTAAAGGAGTTCTTACATACTTCACACACATGAACATGAGGCTTCTCTCCTGTGTGAGTAAGAGAATACATGTTTGAATTGAACTTGTGATTTAACAATTTTTTAAATACTTCACACACATGACGTTTTTGTCCTTTGTGAATAAGCAGCTGATTGTCTGAATTTATCTTTTAACTAAATGTCTACATACATCACATATAACAGTTTTCTATCCAATGTGAATCAGCATATGCATCTTTAAAATATTTTTTCGCCTAAATGACCTCGTAGAAATTGCATACATATGTGGTTTGTGTTCAGTATGAATATGCATGTGCTGTTTTAAAAATTACTTCTTGAAAATGATTTGTAACAAAACATCAACCTAGACCATAGAATTTCTGCTCTATATTGATAACTGTAATCGACATTCTCAATATAACTTGCTACATATCTCGTGATGAATTTCGTCCTCTGAGGGAATGTAAAACGAGACTACTTAATAGAAACTTCGTTAAAAGTGGTTTTAAGATGATTGGTTCACTCTAGCATTTCATGTCTCATGTAAATACGCGTGTTTTTCTTTGTAAAAGAATCAGCAAATTATTCACAATGCTTTGATTCCAATAATGTTTCACTGAAAATTAATTGCTTATAGTTTTCAAGCTTCGAATACTTAAAAGTATGAATCACACTTCAGCATGAAGTAAACTTTAATTAAAGACTCACATCATAGTTTTAAAAACAGTCACTATCCTTAAAAAGCTATATGTTCGGTATTTATTTAAATTATAAAATCAGATTTAACGTAAACACACTTACTATCACGAAAGAAAACAGTTACTGCGACACAACCAACGAACGGCCATGAATGTTAAAAGAACATTATAATAGATTCTTTGCCGAACTCTTAAAAGTTGACCAAACCTCCTTGAAGTTGACTATCTATCATTATTGCCATGCACATATTAGTAAACTTTACTAGCAAAATCTAAGTGATGCTTGCTCATGAGCCAAATTAACATTAAAATAAATAATTTACTACTACTATCCTCCCACCTTTCGATTTTAAATTATAATCAAAATGCAAAATCACCACTGTCTCATTCTAAGTTAGTATAATAAAGTATATCTATAGCCTAACCACTGAAATAAACCGCAGAAAGACCCTTGAAGTATACGTAAAGGACTTAAAACTTCATGTTAATTGTATCAGAGACAAAGCACAACGTGTTTTATTGAGCATATACCCTTTGATGTGCAAATATTCGAAGTTAAATATCAACGCTTGGAGGAATCTGTCTGATATCTGAGACCCGACGAAACAAGCGTCTAGCCCCTCAGATGCTATATTCCTCCTTGATCGTTTGCGCAGATTCACGCGCAGCGTGTTTACCCCAAGGAGCTGGGCGTGGTCAAAGCCGATTTTTTTAAAACGCCACGCGTTTAAAACGTTACGAACTTGGTGCGCATTACTGAATGTAAATTAATTAATTTTGTTAGTTTTTCTGAAATAGTTTTCTTTTTAATTGGTATATATATTTATTTGTTCAGATGTTTTATTATAAATCTATACATAAAGGAAGAATTCCTGATTTATTCATTTATTCACGTACAGATCATCGCCCGAAGCTATTAGAGATACAGATATCAAAACTTAGGAGCTTATTACTTTTGCATAGAAGATGTTATTTAAGAAGCTATTTTTTAAGATTCGGCGTGCAAAACATGTTTTTATGTTTTTTCATATAAGGAAGAAACAGATGTACATAAGATTCTTGCTTTAAAATGTATGGAATATGAATACATAAAAACCAATTTCAAACGTTTTCAAAATTCGGCAACGAAAGGGGGGAGAACGTGTTCTTCACATATTCCTTCATACCTCAGATATCCATAAAACACACTTATGAATTATTGCTGTAAAATGTAAGGAATACAAATAAATGCTGACATCAACATGTGTGGGGAGGGGACTGATTGGCATAAAATACAAGTTTACATAATGTACAAGTAAGCCTTATTAAAGGTGCAAACCAGATATGTAAAGCTAGTTAGTATTAAAAAAAACTTAAGGTTTCTATTATTTAATGTTATTAATAATTAAAATCCCAAAATAAAAATGTAGCAGCATGTGGCAATTCACAAAACTGTTATGAGTTTGTTACCATGTTCAATTAGTTTTAAACAATTCTACACATAATAAAATGGCCAGTGCACAACATGTGAATGTACATGGGGTTGAATAATTAGAAAATTAAAAACTTGACAAATATTAAATAGCAAGTATTGAATAGTAGAAAATATTCCTTACCGTTCAAATTTGGGATTGACTCAGTTTCACCAAAATATATTTATCTACATTAAAAATGCTTGGTAATAATCTATTGACTGAACACTTTAAAAGTCAATGAATGATTGATTGTATGGACAATATTTGGTATTGTTGGACTTGGGGGGGGGGGAAGAAAGACAGTAATGCAAGGAGGATGAACAAAAATAGACTTACTCATTAATCACAGAATATATCAGCCTATCACGAGGACCTGAGATAAAGGTTCAAAACCCTATACTGACCTTCTACATCTGTTCCTGATCATTTTAAGGATTAGAGTTGGAATTATCTTATTATTAAAGAGAAGTTCTAAAGAAAGAGATAGTATTATATAAATAAGAAAAAAATATCATCTGACACATATAAAACACTTACAGGCAGTTGAAAGATGTTTTAGATGATAAAAATGAACAAAAGGAATTGTGAATAGGTACTAATGACTATTGTTAAAATATATATTTTTCACTAGATGTGTTAAGTTTCTTCAGTGGAATTATGTGTAAAATTTTTGTGATCCAAAATAATTTTTAGAATTGTATTATTGTCTTCATTCTGTGAAGTTATTGTAGAAGTTTTTGTCAGTTTCCTTTTTGTTTTGTATTTGAGAATCTTTTGGGTATTATATTTTTATTAGGTGGAATATCTTTATTAGCAGTTGGGAAATGTAAATGTATTTCGGGTAGAGTAGACTTGAAGGTACCCCTTGTATTTTGGCGAAGTTGTTGTTTGATTTATCGCCAAGTTGTTGTTTCATTTATGGTAGCCTGAATAGTTGAATGTTATGGAAACCCTATTGTGACGTAATCGGGTGCATGCATGATTCTGGGAAATTTTTAATCATGGGATGTTTTGTAAGCATTTTTGTGGTGTGTGTTTAGACGGTAGAATGGCCAAATGTAGTAAGATTAATTTGAAGTTTCTGTACGATTTGGAGCAAAAGAGGAAAAGAGCTTTAATTGACTGGTGTGTAAATGAAGGTTTACTTAGTAGCCATTATAAGTGTCCTGTATGTACAGGGTGATCAGCGAATAAGCCCTGATTTCAAAATTAAATATCTCTACAACAAAAATCGATAGAATTATGCGGTAAACTGTACATTTATTAGCAAAACTGTAAAAATAGTGTACAAAAGTTTAGAAAATTTAGTTACGAAAATCGTTAACAGATGGCGCTCTGCATTGAAAATTATTTCTGAAAGGAGTCAAAAAATAATTTAAAAATAAAGCAGCCCTTGCAATCAAAATACAATTTTTTCAAAATGTTCACCATTCGAAACAATGAGGTGGCGTAAATGAACAATGAAATTTGACATCATGTCTTGCAATGTCTCGACGGAAATGGAATAACATGCAACACTAATGAAGGATTCAAGCTCATCTAGAGTAGCAGGATTGTTTCGATAGACAGCATCTTTCAATGCGCTGCACAGAAAGAAGTCACATGGACTCAGATCGGGAGAATATGGAGGCCAAGCTATTCCTGTGTCAGTAAATTGAGGATAATCTAATGCAATTACTCTATTCTCATAGTATTCATGAAGAAAGTGAAAAACTTTATTTGTTCGATGTGGTCGAGCCCCATCTTGCAGGAACCAGTCGATACCTGATCGACACTCAAACACTAGTTGAGTGCTGACAAATTGTTCTAAAATTGTAACGTAATGTTCAGTAGTTATCGTTTCTCATATGAAAAAGGGTCCGATAATGCCTCTGGTGCATACCACAGCCCATGTTATAACTTTAGGCGAATGCAGTGCTTTTTCTTCACACAAATGAGGATTTTCAGTACACCAAAAGCTCCAGTTTTGTTTATTAACGATTCCATTCAAATGAAAATGTGCTTCATCTGTGAACCAGATGCAGCTCCCATCAAATCTGTCGTTGTTGATCATTGTTAGAATCTGATTCGCAAAGTCAACCTTTTGTTGCACAGCTTTCATGGGTATGGAATGATGACTTTAGATTTTGTATGGAAACAGCCGTAGGCTATTTTTAAATATATTTTTTGTGTGCCCGTTCAAACCTGTCTCTGATGCTTTTCCTAGGATTTTGCTGAACAAATCCAGAAGCTTTGGTTGCATTTTCAGGAGTGACTATAGTTTGCTTAGGCCCAACGTTTCCCTTTCAATCATCAGCCATGCTGCCAGTCCATTCGAATTTCGTGAAGAGCATGAGAATGGTTTTCGCATCGGGTCCAACTGGAACATTGAATCGGTTTTGAAATCTGCAACGTGTTGCCATAGGACTGTGTTCTAATGGGCGAAATTCCAGAACCAAAATACACATTGTTCAATGAAATACATTATTTCACTTTCTACGCTAGCCTCTTTTCACTAGCCAACAGTTGTACTGATCACTTTCGACTTCGAAACACATTTTAAAGGCTATTGTTAGGTCATTGCGATTACAGCACCATCTGTTAGCGATTTTCATAACTAAATTTTATAAACTTTTGTACACCATTTTTACAGTTTTTCTAATAAACGTACAGTTTACCGCATAATTCTATCGATCTTTGTTGTAGAGTTATTTAATTTTGAAATCAGGGCTTATTCGCTGATCACTCTGTAGGAAGGATATGCGTCTAGTCGAACGTAAACACCGCTTAGATGGCTGTGAATGAGTTTATAGGAAGAAAGGTTCAGATGGTCACTATGTGAAGCATTCGATCAGAAAGAGTACTTGGTTTGAAAAAAGTCATTTGAGTATGATTGATATTTTGATTTTTACGTGGCTCTGGGTGTACGAAGCGAATTCGAAAATCATGGTAAGCGAATATTTGCTTTTGGTAGTGCTTAAATGTATAACATATTTTTCCTTTTTTATGTTATTTTATTGTTTGGTTTGAAATGTATTTTATTGAGATTATGTCTTTTTTGTTTGCCTACTATTGTAGAATTTGGGTACTCCCTTTGACTTTCTAAAGTGAAAATAGATCGATGTGTACATGGACAAAGTAAAGGGAGAGCGCAATGCAAGTTTGTGCAATTCTGGGATTTTTTTATATCAGTGAAAATAGGTCGATGTGTACATGGATAAAGTTAAAAGAGTGC